TGCACAGCAGAACGAAACAATGTCCAATCCTGGGTCAACCTCACTACTGCTGCCACACTTGACGTCATCAATGATGCCACCTGGTTGATCCATCTCGTTAGGGGTCTTCCTCTTTTTCTCTGACCCTCCACCCTACCCAGAATGACATCCTTCTCCAGCGACTGTTTCCTCCGGACAATATGTCCAAAGTATGAGAGACGAAGCTTAGCCATCCTGGCCTCCAAGTAGCACTCTGGCTGCACTTCTTCCAAAACAGATCTATTGGTTCTTTTGGCAGTCCATGGCACTTTCAACATTCTCCTCCAACACCACAACTCAAAGGCGTTAATTCTTCTACGATCCTCCTTATTCACTGTCCAGCTTTCCAATCCATATGAGGCTATTGAAAACACAATTGCCTGGGTAAGGCACACCTTAGTCCTCAAGCTGACATCTCTGCTCTTCAATACTTTAAAAAGTTCCTGTGCAGCAGATTTGCCCAATGCAATACGTCATCTGAGCTCTTGACTGCTGCTTCTGCGAGTGTTGATAGTTAATCCAAAAAGAATGAAGTCCTTGACAACTTCAATCTTTTCTCCATTGATAAGAATGTTGTTTATTGGTCCAGTGGTGAGGATTTTTGTTTTCTTGACATTGCTAACCTTTCAGTTAGCAGCCCAATATTTTACATAGTGCCATCGGGAGTCTTGGTGTGGCGCTGTGGGTTAATGCGCCAGACTACAAAGCCGTTTGAACCGCAAGGTCGGTGGTTCAAGCTCACCAGCCACTCCTCGGAAACCCTATACAGGGTCGCTATGGGTCGACTTGATGGCACTTAACAACAACAATGTCAGTGGGGAGTCCTGGTGTAGTGCTGTGGCTTCATGCGCTGGGCTTCAAGGTCGGTTTGAACCACAAGGTCAGCAGTTCAAGCTCAGCAGCCTCTCCTCGGAAACCCTATACAGGGTCGCTATGAGTCGGAACCTACTGGACGGCATTTAACAACAACAATGGTCAGTGTACTCTGAAGAGCTACTGAAATCATATTCTATCTGCTTCCGTAGTCTCACTGGAGTGCATGAAGAAATAGGAATAATGCTAGAGAGAAGTCTTGAAATGTGAATCAGGACATGCCCTCTTCAGACTGTTATAATAAATACGTTTCTTTGGAATTGTAAGCTGTACAAAGTAAATAATTCAAGTTCTAGTCATTGTGATAAATTCTGGAACTATAGAGACTCTAGAATTCGAATGAATTAAACCAGCTTCTAGGCAATTCCTGGACTCCTGGTGTGGACTATAGTGTAAACTCTGGACCTTAAATCATAAAGTCAGCAGTTCAAACCCACCATCTGCTCCTCGGAAACCCTATGCAGGGTCTCTATAAGTCAGAATCAACTCGATGGCACTTAACAGTAACCACAACTCAGTGTAAAGATTTCCCAGGCTAACCTGGCCAGAGCCAGAAGAGAAGTTTGGTGAAGTTGTTATATCGCCATCTGCTGCTGAAAAGGAAAAAAGTACCTAGGAATCTGGGTTGCATTTGTGGGTTTTAAACACTGACTCAAATAATTCAAAGGGAGTAGATATGCAGTTCCTTACAGGGAGGGTCCCTTTGAAGGCTGTTGGATTTTTGGCTTCCTATGGATATTTAGTACACTTGATTAATTTCATTTCAAAAATGTGCATCAAAATTAAAAAGGAATATATAAATAGGGAGGAATCTATGTTAGAACAGGAAACCATGGAAAAGGGCCAGCCACATTCTAGAACCTATGAGAACTTTGTGCAGGATACACGAGATAGTGTCGGTGATAGGAAAGGGCTTGTTAGCCAGCTGTGGACCACAAGCCTGCCGAGGAAGTGAGTAGGGAAGATGCCAGCAAAAGCCACCCCCAAATACTCACTGACTCAGAGTGGCAAGGGCTGGAAATGAGGGTTACCAGGCCCATGCTGTTAGGTGCCACAGAGTCATTTTCTTCCCATAGAAAACCCATGACAGCATAGAACTGCCCCATAAGTTTTGCTGGGCTGTAATCTTCAGGGAAGTAGATCTCCACGTCTTTCTCTCTCAGAATAACTGTGTAGGTTCAAGCCACTGATCTTTCAATTAACCGCTGCATGCTTAAGCATTTGTGTCACCAGGCTCCTAGCGGGAGACGAAAGTTGATTCTACCTCACCTCTGGAAACTGTTCAAGGTGCTAGTGCTCATACACACAAAATGAACCAAATGCTGCTGAGCCTGGCTTCTAAAAAAGGCAGTCATGCCAGTTAGAAAAGAGTGACACGTGCCCCTGAGAAACCTCTACCCTGGAAACCTAACTCTCAGAATGACGGAGCCATCTACGGGTTCCAGGCCAAAGAACCAATGTCCAAAGATTCTATACTCCACCAAACTATCATTCAAGTGTGACCACCACGGAAAGTCATTCTCAGATATGCATATACTCAGCATTCCATGATACAGCTTTCCTGAAAGGAAACACACATAGACACACACACACACATTAAAAACAATGGTAGTAAGTAGAATCTCCACTGAGTAGTATCCAAATCTGTCTAAGCGGGCCTGATGAAACGAAATGCGTATTCATCTCTTGTGATACAATAGTGAATAATTGTTATCAGGACTGCTTGTGAGGGTTGGAAATGTAAAGGTAGACGTTTTGTAGCAAAGAGGGGAGCGATTAACTTTTCAGTCTAGGAGCGGAGGTCCCTGGGACTATCAAGAGAGAAGAGCAGAGAGCGGGACCCTACCCAGAGAAGTAGTGATGCCTGAGATGGAGGCAGAGACGATGATGCGGAGAGATGGAGCAGTTGGGGACTTTAGACATAGAGAAGGAGAGGGGCTGTGTGCTGACAACCGGTGGCAGGCTTGCAGGGTATACCCTTTGGTTGGTTGATGATGCATGGAGGGGATTGTAACCACAACAATGAAACGATATAAGACAGGATGAATGTAAAACGAATGTTCTCCCATGTAAACTATCACATAATTCACAATAAAACATTAAAACAACAACAAAAAGTAAAAATAAAAACAATGGTAGTGAAACCAATATCACTCAATAATTAAATCAAGATCATTGTAGTTAATAGACTTAAAAAATAAACATCAATATAAAAATTGTTGTTGTTGTTAGGTGCCATCCAGTTGGATCCTATGTACAACAAGATGCGATGCTGCTCTATTCAGCACCATTTTCACAATCACTGCTATGTTTGAGCCCATAACCACTGTGTCAGTTCATGTGACTGAGGGTCTTCCTCTTTTTTGCTGAGCCTCGACTTTACCAAATATGATCTTCTCCAAGGACTGGTCTCTCCTGATAATACGTCCAAAATATGAGACAAAGTCTTGCCATCCTGACTTCTAAGGGGGTAATCTGGCTGTACTTCTTCCAAGACAGATTTGTTTATTCTTCTGGTAGTCCGTAGCATATTTAATAATCTTCTTCAACACCATAAGTCAAAGGAATCAATTCTTCAGTCTTCCTTATTCTTTGTCCAATGTTTGCATGCATATGAAGCAATTGAAAAGAGCTTGGCTTGGCTCAGGCCTTCAAAGTGACATCTTGGCTTTTTAACACTGTGAAGAGTTATTTTTGCAGTAGATTTGCCCAATGCAATCCATTATTTGATTTCCTCACTGATGCTTTTATGAGCATTGATTGTAGATACAAATGAAATGAAATACTTGACAACTTTAATCTTTTATCCATTTATCATGATGTTGTTTACTGGCCCAATTGTGAGGATTTTGTTTCCTTTACAAAGTATAGTTACCTAACATTTATTGAATACATATTGTTATTATGTGCCATCGAGTTAGTTCTGAGTCATAGCTACCCTGTATAGGGTTCCTAAGGAGCAGCTGTTGAGTTTGAACCACTGACCTTGCAGTTCTGTGCTTATCTTACAGCACCACCCAAGGACTACAACGTTAATGCTTATTGTAAGCCATTCTTTCGCAAATGCCTCCGGTTTCTCATGACACTCCCGGCTTCTTTTCTCATTTGTTTTCTTCATAGCAATGATCACTCTCTGGAATTATTTTGCACCTTCGTTTGCCTGTTTCTTTTCAGTATGCCTTTACTAAGATGTCCTTTTCCTGAGGACAGTGACCTCATGCGTTTTGTTCACTTTGCAAAGAACCTCATGCATAGCAACTGACATATGCATTCAACGTTTACTGCATAATTCAATATTTCTTGTTGTTGTTAAGTGCCATTGAGCTGGTTCTGACTCATAGCCACTCTGCATAGGGTTTCTTAGGAGTAGCTGGTGGGTTTGAACTACTGACCTTGTGGTTACCAGTCCAGGGCTGATCCTACAGCGCCACACTAGGAGTCCAATTTAATATTTATGCAGTATCTGTTTATTCTTTTAAATGAAATGAATGCATGAATGAATGAATGAATGTCAGTGAAGAGAAATCCTTGTCCATGTTAGAGTCTAAGGTGTCCCTGCATGCTGCAATGGTTAATGCACTTAATAGCTAACTGAAAGGTTGAATGTTCAAGTCCACATAGAAGAAAGAGCTGGTGATTTACTTTGAAAACCCTGTGGAGCACAGGGGTCCCTGTGATCTGTCATCAGCTTGACTGAAACTTTTTTTTTTTTTTTTTAATTGCAGTGCTGTAGGATAAGCACTGGCCTGAAGGTCACTGGAACCGGAGAGTCAGTGGTTCAAACTCACCAGAAACCCTATACAAGGTAGTTATGAGTCAGAACCGACTCGACGGCACCTAACAACAACAACAATCCATCATTTAGGAGTCCTGGTGTAGCATTGTAGGACAAACATTGTACTGTTAACCACAAGATCGGTGGTTAATCCCACCAGTTGCTCCTTGGAAACCCTATATAAGGCACGTAACAATAGCAGTGACCTATAATTTAGTGGTTGAAACAATTTAACAAGTTCTGCCACAGTTGTGACAAAAAAATCCCATTTTTTAAGCATGTGTTTTTATTCTAATTTGCTTGCTGAATTAAAAGCATGGGAACTGTTTTGCAGGAGTCATCCACAACTTCCTCTCAAGAAAAGTCTGGAAAACTAGAAGCACAAAGTAGTACCTTCCTGTTCCCCAAGGCCTGCCATCAAAGGACACGCAGTAACTCGACCAGTAAGTGTCTTGTGACAATGTCTTCAGGAATGAATAATGTTTAACTGTTCCTGAGTATCAGAAATACCAGTGATGTTAGGAGATCTGGGAGAGCAGGGACACCAGAATTGTGGTCAACTTGCCCCCCCTGACAACAGTCTTCATCATGTACAAATACCTGCTCAGCTGGAAGACTTCTGCATTTGTGTTCAGGGTCCAGTGGTTTAGTCAATTCTCTAGTCTCCTGAGGTCCATATTGAAATGACTTGGGGATGCAGAATAGGAGCCATGGACCTCACTCCCGGTCCATCTGCTGGATTGCTCCTTGATGTTGGCAAGGTCATTCCATCTCTCTGGGCCTCCATCAGTTCATCTATAATATGGTGGGGGTAAAAGCTGGAAGATCTTATGATTTTTAGTTGCTGTAAATAGAATAACATTAATATAATGTCATGAAATTTTGTAAAATACAGAAAAACGTGAAGAAAATAAAGCTACAATAAATCTCAATATTTGTTGTTGTTAAGTGCCATCAAGTTGGTTCCAATTCATAGCGATCCTATATAGGGTTTGTGAGACTTTAAATCTTCATGGAAGCTGAAAACCTGAACTTCCTCCCAAGGGGCAACTGGTGGGCTCAAACCTAGGACCTTGTGTTTCACAGCTCAGTGCTTATCATATAGTCTGTTTTAATATTTTCAATTATTTCCCCCTTTCTATGCCTATTGAAAATGAGCACTGATATCTTTCTCTGTCTCTATCTCTCTACATGGGTATATGAAGGCTTCCCAAAGTTCATGGAAAATGCAATGAAAAGATACTAGAATTTTTCCATGAACTGGTTGAAGTCCCCCTTTTGTGTGGATATGTATATATATTTTTCAAACATTAAAAACTCTCTGTAAACACCAATTTTAGTGACTACATATTATTTCATTATGCGAATGTATCATAAGCTTGCTAACTTACACCTATTACTAAGTATTTCAGTTATTTTGTTTTCCAAAAACATAGTCAGCCTTGCAGAATTTGTACATGAAAGTTTAACTTTCTGATGATTCTCTCAGAGAAAATACAAGAGGCACTGGTGTTGTATGGTGGTTAAGGAACCACATTTGGGAGCCAAAGTGCTTGGATTTTGGTCCCCTTCCAGTGCTAATTATCTATGTGACCTTGGGCGCATCTCTGGAACTCCAAACTACACAGTATTCTACTGTAGAATGTACTATCGTTAAATTAAGCATCTCCTGTTTTTGAACAGTTAGTAGCCTTCATATATATGTATATATACACATAAATATACACAGTAAAACTCACTCCTGTCTCACAATTTCTAGACATATGATCATAGTGACATGTGTTAATTTCTTCATGTTGTAGCTATATTCTCATTATTTATAGTTGAGTTGTTTCACTTCCTTTGACTGAATCTGCCTGCTCCCCAACCATTTCATCCATGCTTTATTTTAGCATAGCTGCTCTTACATAGATATGCTCTTGTTTTTGTTAAGTGCCATAGAGTCAGTTCTGACTCATAGCGACTCTGTATAGGGTTTCTGAGGAGTGCTGATGGGTTTGAACCACCAGCCTTATGGTTCGCAGTCCAGTGTTTATCCTATAGATCCACACCAAGAGTTCATAGATATACTAGTATACATATACATCCTAATGTTGAAGAGCAAAGATGTTAGCTTGCTGACTAGGGTACGCCTCACCCAAGCCATGTGTGCATACGTGTGTTGTATGAGTGTGCTGTGTGTACGTGTGTTGCATGAGTATGTTGTGTGTACGTGTGTTATATGAGTGTGCTGTGTGTGTTGTATGAGT